GGTGCTGGGAAAACTGGACAGCTACATGCAAAAAATGAAAATGAACTACTTTATATACCATACAAAAAAAAAAAAACCTCAAAATGGATTAAAGACCTAAATTTGAGACCGGAGACCATAAAACTCTTAGAAGAAAACAAAGGCAGTCATCTTCTTGACATTAGCCTTAGCAACATTTTTCTAGGTATGTCTCCTCAGGCAAGGGAAACAAGAACAAAAACAAACTATTGGGACTACATCAAAATAAAAAGCTTTTGTACACCAAGGGAAACCATCAACAAAACAGAAAGGCAAACTACTGAATGGGAGAAGATATTTGCAAATGATATTTCTGATAAGGGTTAATATCCAAAATATAAAAAGAATTTAAGCAACTAACACCAAAAAAACAAATAATCTGATTAAGAATGGGCAGAGGATATGAAGAGACATATTTCCATAGAAGACATACAGATGACCAACAGACACGTGGAAAGATGCTCAACATCATTCATCATCAGGGAAATGCAGATCAAAACCACAATGAGGCATCACCTTGTATCTGTCAGAATGGCTAGAATCAAAAAGGCAAGAAATAGCAAGTGTTGGTGAGGACGGGTAGAAAAAGGAACACTTGTGCACTGTTGGTGGGGATGTGAATTGGTGCAGCCACTGTGGAAAACAGTATGGAGGTTCCTCAAAAAATTAAAAATAAGAACACCATATGATCTAATAACTCTGCTGAGTATTTACCCGAAGAAAAAAAAACTAATTCAAAAAATATATAGACACCCATATGTTTATTGCAGCAATATTTACAGTAGCCAAATTATGGAAGCAACCCAGTGTCCATCGGTAGATGAATGGATAAAGAAGAGGCAGTACACACACGCGCACACATGCACGCACGCATGCGCACACAGATGCACGCGCACATGCATGCACGCACATAATGGAATATTACTCAGTCATAAAGAGGAAGGAGAGAATGCCATTTGCAAAAACATGGATGGCCCTCTAAGAGAGTGTTTTGGGACTAGAAGAGCACATTTTGGTTGTCACAATGACTGGAGGTGTGTTGCTGGCCTTTAGTGGGAAGGACCAGGAATCCTAGACAAAGCAAAGCAGGTGACACATACTAGACATCAAGAAAAATGGCCCACATGATTCAAACATCCAAAGATATTCCAGCAGACATTAAGGGCTTCTCCCCCGTTTATAATGATCTGAGCCTAGATCCTGGTTCTATTTTATATATAAGCACAACGTACCTGGGTGCTTTCAACAAACACCGCAATTTCTAGAAATGCAGCTACCGTGAGCGGTACAGAGAAGACCATTGTTTATGTGGTTTAGAACATTACTAATTTTGGCTCGCCATTTCAAAACATCATATCCCTAAGAGCTATGCCCCTTGGGATAGGAGTCTCCAACTCATATCTAGCAGCTGGCAGATGTGCTCACCTGCCCATGCAGATGCTAAAGGGGCGGTGCCCACGCTAGTGTGTTGGTCCCCATCACAGAGGAGAGCTCCCTGCTCTGAAATCCCATGTTGCTCAGACAAGGGACATTCTCTCTTTCCCAGAAGCTAGAGCTTCTGCATATGCAACATCAGACTGCCGCATTGTATCTTCTGCTCTGGTTGGGACATACTGCTTTATTACAAGTTGTTTTTCTTTCCTTTTTCCTTTATGTTACGCTTAGGACATTATTCCAATGATATTTTGTGGGTTATATGCATGGATGTGATATTATCTATGATTTTCATTGCAGGATAGGGAAGGGGCATTTCAAGATTCTGCATAAAGAGAGCAACTGAGAGTGTTGAGAATCACTCCCCTCTCCCACCAAACAGAGTGCAGACTCCTGTCCGGGCCACACAGATCTTCAGGTGGAGGGAGGGAAGGCCTCAGTGTTATCTCAGGTGAGGGTACCCTGTGCAACGAGCAACTAGGGATCCCAACCAGCATCTCACTGAATTCATCCACTCAAGCCATTTGCTCAAGGCCAGATCCCTTGCTTTTGGAAACAAGTTTCCAGTATATCTTTGTATCCCTAGTACTTTTTTTTTTATTATGATTACGTGATGTTACTCACCATACATTACATCATTAGTTTTTGATGTAGTGTTCCATGATTCATTGTTTGCGTACAACACCCAGTGCTCCATGCAGAACGTGCCCTCCTTGATACCCATCACCAGGCTAACCCATCCCGCCACCCCTCTCCCCTCTAGAACCCTCAGTTGGGTTTCTCAGAGTCCATAGTCTCTCATGGTTCGTCTCTCCCTCTGATTTACCCCCCTTCATTTTTCCCTTCCTACTTTTTTTTTTAACATATAATGTATTATTTGTTCCAGGGGTACAGATCTGTGACTCAACAGTCTTGCACAATTCACAGTGCTCACCATAGCACATCTCCTCCCCAATGTCTATCACCCAGGCACCCCATCCCTCCCAACCCCCACCATTCCAGCAACCCTCAGTTTGTTTCCCGAGATTAAGAATTCCTCATACCAGTGAGGTCATATGATACATGTCTTTCTCTGATTGACTTATGAAATACAGTAAGATCTTGGTCCCCTTTTTCCCCCCAGGTCACTAAAGACCACCAGGAGGGTCACTAAAGTCCTTATGACATGAAGAGGATATGAAGAGACATATTTCCATAGAAAATGGAAACTCAAAAGTCCTTATACCAATGGACACTCAAAGTCCTTCATTTCCCATCCCTTTCCTTATAATTTTAAATTTTGACTATCAATACACTGTCACAGCGAGACCCTCACTGGATACTCCATGAAAACCACTGACAATCACTTATATGTACATTCTCTCTTTAGAGCCAGATGAAAGGCTGTAAGAGAGGTAGGGCGAAAATTGTCTTCGTACTACAGCTAAACAGAGTGAGGCTCAAGGACACCGAGCTCAGGAGTAACAGAGCCCAGATGCAAACCACAGTTTCTGAATCCAAATGTCAGCACAGATCGCATCACATTAAAGTGATAAAAATGAAAAATGTTCGAAGCCATCCCAGGGTCAAAAAAGTCCCTTCCACAACACTCCTTGGAAAATGTATCCTTGGGTTCTTAAACAAGGAAATAGAGTCACCCTCTAGACAAGCAGAGAGGACATTATTTACATTCTGGGTATATCTTATCACCAGCAGGGTCCAGAAATCCTTCTAACACACACATACACAAACACACTCACACACACACACACACACACAATCTCCTACCGGTTACTCACTCAGCCGCTTATTAATGGAACATGTCCAGGCAACTTAAAATTTTATCTAAGGGCTGCAAATTTCACATTGGAGTTATCACACACGACTGCTTATTGTCTCCCATGTTCCTGAACTCAAAGGTCCTATGGAGCCTGGGGAAGAAGAGAAAGTTTCAAGAGTGCCACTTTTTAGTGTGTTGTTCCCCATCACAGAGGAGAGAGAGCTCCCTGCTCTGAAATCCCATGTTGCTCGGACAAGGGCCGTTCTCTCTTTCCCATATCAAGCATGGGCACCTCACCATTTCTCTGTGCGGGACACCTCTGCCCTCCTAGAGAGCTGGCCAGGTACTGGAGGACGCGCTCTCCTGCACACCGCTCAGAGCTAACCCAGATCTGTGAGCACACGCAGCTCCATGAGTGAGAATGGCTGTGGGCTTCTGGGCCCCGGAAACTGGTGCTCGGGACCACGAACCAGAGCATCTCCAGGCTGCAGGCATAGGACAGACGTGCACCCCCAGTGCCTATCCATCAGAGCTCATACCTTAAGAATGGTGATGCCTTTCATCTGCATCACTGAACGAATAGCACAGATCACAGTCAGTGGTTAAAACTACACACAGCGGTAGCCTACGGTTAACTTCTTTCCATGGAGCCATTTTAGTGCAAGACAGGTGTGTCGTGTCCAGTCCCAGACTCTTCGATGCCAAGCTACACAAGGACTCCAGTATAAAGTGTCACGTCTAGGAGAGGCCCATGCTACGTGTTCCAAAGGACAGAACTTTATGTAGGTTTCAAATGTGTTGGGTCTGAGTTCTGGTTCCAGTAGGAATTTCAGGAGGTTATAGGAGGTGTAATCACAGGGTACAGATTATCCTCATTAACCACCTAAGGGTCCTTCAAATGTGTACCTGTTGCAGCCTCCCAGTTGTGTGGGTGCCATGGTTGTGACCCCCCAAATTATAGGAATGTCAATGCAGTTGAAGAGACTGGACGGAGTCCTAAAAGTTTAAGAACACCAGAAGGAAGGAAAAGTTACATGGTGAACACATAGGAAGGCTTTATGATCCTCAACCTTCTCGGGCATGACATGCACATAATGGCAAAATTTTCATATACTCCTTCCCATGTGATACTACCAACCAGTGTCAAAGGTAAGCTGTGAGATAACACATGACTGTAGCAGGGCGTTCTGAGTAGGAAGAGGGGGTGATGAGCCACAGAGATGGGTGGGGGGCAGGAGGCTAGCAAGTGTCCAGCCTAAGGGGCCTAGCCTGTGGAAAGAAAGACAGTGGCAATTTCTCAACAAGTGTCATATGTACAACAGGGAAAGCTGAGAGGATGAATTTGGCAGTCCAGTTACAAATAAATGCCACAAACCCAATGCAAATAAAGAAAAGATCCCCACCACACTCCCAAGAAGAATTTTTTTTTTTTTTTAATTAAACAAGGGAGTATTTGGGGCGAAAACCACAGAGAGCCCTTCAAAAATCCAGATCACCACATGAAAAGGCAGAGTCAGATTGCTGCTGAGGTTGTAAACCCAGCACGCACACTTGCCAAGTCTAGATGCAGGACAGGTATTTATAGCTGAGCAAGATTTAAATGGCCAGTAACATTTCCTTCCAGAGGCAGTTTGGTGATTAAGAAAATCAAGATGCTAACGGAACAGCTCCTCTACCTGACAGGGAACAGACCTGTTAGCGGAAATAAACAAACTACTGCCATTTCACATCAGAGTCCAAGGAAATGGGAAGAGAATTGACCTGACTGGTAAATAGTTCCTGTTTTCACCTTCAATTTCCAAATAATCCTTGTTGCAATATTTCCGATAATTCCTTCAGCGAGTCTTCCCCTGAAGTGGACTTGATTTCAGGAAACACTATGCGAGCCACAAGGCACATTCCATTTCTCTTCATAGTCTATGAATTATCTCCCGTGGGCAGAACCTGCTGAAATTTCTTGAGAGAGCCATTCAGGAGGCAGGCGGAGATCAGATCAACGGGGCGGAGTGAAAAAAAGGAAAAGCAGCAACTTGATTGGCTGTGATTAAAATTTCCTGGCAAAGACAGAAAACAGGACTTTACTTGCCACAAATTATAACTCCTGGTTGGTTTGTTTTTTCTCCTTCAAGTTATTAAGAGAATTTCTCACTGCTGCACTCTGCCACAAGATCCTAATCAAAACAACACAGGGAGATAAAATGTTTTCGTTTCTCTTTCCAATGACTCTCCCCTAAGACTCTGGGTTTTGCCTGCCAATGATAACACAGATACTACTTGGTATCTCTCGTTTTGTTCTGTTGTTTTGCTTTTGTCTGGCTCAAAAAAAAAAAAAAAAAGTTCATGGCCACTGGGGAGAAAAGAAGGAGAAACTATAAAAATGTTCAGTGTGCCTTTTTAAAGCCTGTGATGTAGAGTTCCTCAAGAGACCTACTTAGGTGGAGGCATCTCACCACCTTTAGTGTGGATGCCCATCTTTCTGTATGTGAGATTTTTAACTCAAACAACCTGGGGACACTCACTTTAACTCAGAACGCTGATCTGTTCGCGAGCTCCTCCAGACTGCTGCAGGGGGATTATCCTCCTGAGCGTGGGTTCGCAGTCTCCTCCGGGGTGTAATGATGTCATGTTTGCCGAGTGCTTTGAAACTTTTCAGAAGAAAGGCAGTGCACAAAGTCAAGACATTCTTCACACACTATGTAAGACAGAGCTTTCGTTTTTTCTGTTTCATATTTAGAAAACTGCCCCTCTAGCCAGGCTATGCTATAAAAGGAAGAGAAGATCTTCCGTGACCTTCCCAGATTTTCTCTTGAGTGTTCTGAATAGTCTTTATGCCAACCAGCCCTCTCTCCCTCGCCTCTTTGTTCTTTCTTGGCATCTTTGGCAAAGCCAAGAGAGCAATGAAGAAATGTAAAGAGACAAAACTAAACCACCCTCCGTCCTCTCTGCAGTCACTTCTTCCCAGAAAGTTGCCTCTCCAGAGTTCACCAAGAGAACCGAAAGAACCAGATCAAAAGATCTGTTCGTATATTCATTCCAATTCCATTTCACAAACATGGCAGGCCTTCTAAGTATTTAAACCATAATTTTTACCCTTCAAGGTGCTTACTTCTGATGACAGGAAAGGAGTAAGTTTTGATTGCAGAGAAGGGCGTTGGTGATACTGGGGTGTTCGTGTTAAGAAGGTGAAAGGTGAGATTAGATCTAGTGCAAATCTTGGGTATGCCTCTTCTCCCAAACCCCCTTATCCCAATTCCAGTACTATCCACCTCTCCATCTCTATCTATAAAAGACCTCTGATCTTTGCTTCCAAACGGCCTTCCATTATCTTCTTCCCAAAGCAAAGCCAAGTCAATTTAGGAACAAGCTCTGATTGGGGTCATTAGCCATCCATCATCCTTCCATTTGGGTCAGTAACCAAGAACCACCCCTCACCTCCAGAAGGAAGCCCCTCCCAAAGGGTGGAGCTTTATATTTCCTTCACGTGCAAGAATTGTCCATCCAGAAAAACCATCAGACCCAGCCCAGAAAACTGCTGTAATAAACACACCTTTGGAGAGAGTTCCATTCCTCCTGGATCAGGGGAAATAATTCTTAAGATCTCAAAAGAGAATTCTAATTTCTAGGAGGTGCTAATTCTAGTCCCACAACTGCAACCTGTGCTTTGGGATCCTATCAGATGATCAGCTGAAATCACTATTCATTTTGTTCAAAAACATACTTTCTCTCCCACACAATTTATTCAAGGGTTCCTTTAAGATTTCAGCGGAAGATCCAGTTTCTGCTGGAAGTGCTTCTCCAATTACAATGGAATCCCCTTAACTCTTGGATCTGTCTACCCATTTATTCCCAACTTCTGACTCCAGGAATCATTAAGTGGTCTTTCCTCTCTTAGATGGCAAACTCTGTCATGCCTCATAATTGAGTGGGCACTCGATAAATAAATGCTATAGTGCTCTGAGGAATAATACACTTCCTGTTGGCAGCAAATCCGGGAGAAACTTCCTTAGAAGAAAGCACTGTCAATTACCACTTAACAAGCCTGAATTTTGGCTCCCAGAGAAAAAGCAAACCAAACAGTAACAACTCACCCCCTACAGTAGCCACATCGCTATCTGGCCCCTGTCCTCCAGTCACCTGGCAAGTGGCTGGCCCCATAGCAGGTCCTTGTTGGTAGACTGACTCATAAAAGCAGGAGAATGGTGATACGTAATCCATCACTGATATAGGTAGACGCCAGCTAGGTGCCTGACCGTCTGGCTCTGCGGAGCTTCTGACCTCCTGTGGTCCTCGGCTCTCTTACAGCTGGCGCATCTAGCTGCGATGAGAGATGTCAGGCTGGGAGCAGGATGCACAGAGAGGACGGGGAGGCCGTTCTGGAACACTGGCAGGGGATTCACCTCTTTCTTCTGCTGCAGCCACCCCAACTTCCCCGTCTCCCCGAGGGTGAAGCTTCTTCCAACTCGACTACAGCCTTCCTTCTACGCTACCCTGCTCCAGGCTAGAGCTCCACGCTTGACACCAAGTGATTCACAATAAGAATGCCAGTCACCCAGGAAGTTCACGCCCAGGCCCCATTTCCAAACTTTGTCATCAAATTGGTCTAGAGTCCAACTTCAGTGTGGATATTCTGGAAAGCTCTCCAGGGGATCTGAATGTGCAGACAGGGCGCAGGCCCGCTGACCTCCTTCATTCCAACCCCTCGGCCCGGACCTGCAATCCCTCGGTCTTTTACAGGGAGTGCTGCTGATAACAACAACAACAATCAATATCACATTTAATAATAGTACCTCACAATTCCTGAGCATTTATTCTAGGCCAGGCACTGTTCTAAGTGCTTTACTCCTACGAATGCACTGAGTTCTCATAAGAAGTAAGTGCATTTGTCATTCGTACGTTTCAGGTGAAAACACTGAGGCATAAGGAGAGGTTAAACAATTTGCCTAAAACTTCACAGCTAGTAGGTGGCAGTAGGAACCCAGGAAGACTGTCTCCAGCACCTTCTCTGTTAACCATTAACCTACACTGCCTCTCTGTATTCAATGCACAAAAGTTTTCAGCTACCACAGGGGTGCCCTCTGGATCCTGTATGGATATAATCATCTCCTCAGATAACCGTATTTCTGAATACACATATCTGCTCCCACTATCCCCTTAGCAAAAACCTTCTATGGCTTACTAACTGCTCGTGGGATAAAAATCCAAACAACATACAAATATACCTTCCTCGACTGGACTGGGCTACCCCTCTGGTATCTCCTCCCACCTTCACCCACTCTACCCTCCAACAACTCCGAAGGACTAGCAGTCCCTTCCATCCACCATAGAACCCTTGAGAAGCAGGACTGCCCCCTCCACACTCTAGATATGGTTGTTATCGGCATTTGTACTGCTCATGAGTGTGTTTCTGAAACGATTTAGAGATGCAAAGACAAAACCTCCCCAAAGAGCCAGGTTGGAAGGAAGCATATTCATTTAGAAACTCAGCCCTTCAAGGGTGCTACCAGCAGTCTAACATGAATTTAAACCATACCTATAACAAGAAAACATTGGATACATCAACTCTCCACCTTCACAAAACCAAAAGCTTAAAAATGGAATTATCATGATGAAATGATATACGCTTACGGACCTTGCTGCATTACTCATAACTTGCAGATTAAAATTCTTACGTCCTATTAAGCACTTACACTTAGCTGGCTCAGTAGGTGCCACAAAGCCCCCATTTCCTTAGAAACTCCCATTGTTAGAGTGTTTTAAACACTACAGCACTACATTCCAAGACCTCCTATAAATTGCGGTTACGGCGAATGAGAACAATCCAGTTTGGGGCCAGAATCTTAGGAATTAGTTCTCAAGAGTTCCTGGAAAATAGGGGCGCCTGGGTGGCTCAGTCGTTAAGCGTCTGCCTTCGGCTCAGGTCATGATCCCAGGGTCCTGGGATCGAGCCCCACATCGGGCTCTCTGCTCGGCGGGGAGCCTGCTTCTCCCTCCCCCACTCCCCCTGCTTGTGTTCCCTCTCTCGCTGTGTTTCTCTCTGTCAAATAAATAAATAAAATCTTTAAAAAAAAAAAAAAAAAGAGTTCCTGGAAAATAAAGTGAAACTGGTCCAGCACTTCATTCCTTCATTGAAAAACGGGTAAAGCAAAACCCAACACTTTGCAAAATACAGGCCACCCATGAGTGCACAATGCAACCGGACTGTGGATGTCCTATATTGGTCTACTTCAATTTAAATGTAAACTACCTTGTGGTTCGCTCTCCTTTTCCCAGGTCTATAAATCTCCCCACTACCCTCTGATCCCGCATTCGCATCTGTTTTTCTACTGGACAAGCCCCACTTTGTGCTTTCTTTGTTCAGAGAGAGAACATCTTTCTATTGGGCCACCTAAGTTCCAAATCACGTCCCCTGACCTTACTCATTAGGTGCTACACATTACAGAATCACTTGACTTCTCAGTCTAGCTCAGGATGTCTCAACCACGGCCCCAGTGACGTTTTGGACCAGATAGATCATTCTTTGTTGTAGGGGCCTGTTCTGTGTTCTGTAAGCTTTTGGTTTAACAGCAGCCCTGGGCTCTACCCACTGCATGTCAGTCGTACCTGTCCCGGGAGGGGTCTCCAGACATTGCCAAACATTCCCCAAGGGCAGGATCACCCCCAGTCGGAACCACTGGTCTAGCCTCGCACACAACCCATTTTGGAGTTTCACTCCCGCTGTAAACGCTTTCCCGTGTTTGGCCACGTTTTTTTTCTTTCCTTTCTGAAATTGTTCAAAAGCAGCCGGCAAAAACAGTCTTTGGCCTTGGGATTTCTAAGGTGGTTTTCTCAGAATGTAACCCTCAGTAGGGGCTCGTTTGTATTGAGTCCATATCGAGCATTTGATTTCGGTCGAGGTCGGGGCGTGGAGTTGAGAACTTGGCCACGACTCACAAGAAAGCAGCTGTTAGGACAGGCCTTCCTAGTACCTGCATTCCTTTTGTGAATCGCCTCCAGGAGGGGAGGGGCATGTTACTTCCGCTGGAAGATCACACATGGAGTTTTGCCTAACACCTTAGAGTAAGCACCCTACATCCCCCAAGGGGCCACCTCTCCCAGTCAGTTGCTTGTTAGTAACAGAAAACTCAATCCAAACTGACGTACCCAACAAGGAGAATTTATTGGCTCAGGTAAGTGAGAAGGCCTACAGAACCAGCACTTGCAGGAGAAGCCGACCTCCAGGTGGGCTGAAGGTCAAGTTTGGGTGCCATCTCTCCGAGTCTCTCAACGTCCACTTCTCTAGGACTCTGTTGGTCTTCAAATCGGCTTCTGTTGTTGTGGTACAATCACCGGACGAGTTCTGGTCCAAGGTCCATATAGCACATTGCTTCCAAGAGGGTGCCTTTCTAATGAAGCAGAAGTCCTGAGCGTCATCGTAACCGGACAGACCTGAGTCATAGGCTTAGGGCTGAAGCGTCCCATCCATGTGGCCCCAGGCCGATGGGTTGAGGCCCTCGAATCAGTCACAGAGGCTGAGGGAGGAAAGTTATGCTGATGGGTTTAGAACGGTGCTTCTCAAAGTGTGTTCCCTCACCAGTGGCATTAACATCACCTGGGCACTTGTTATAAATACAGATCTTCAGGCCCCACCCCAGATTTGCTGAATCAGGACCTCTGGGGTGGGGCCCAGCCATCCCTGTTTGAATAAGGCCTCCAGGTGCTTCGGATGGAAGCTGAAGTCTGTGACCGCTGGTTGAGACCCCATCACGCCCTCCCCACGGAGCCTGGAGTGGGGTGAACCTGATGCACTTCACTGGGCTGTCACACCATCAAAAAAGGATACAGCGGAGGCCTCAGAAGTTACAAAAGCCTTTAAAAGGGGAAAGTTCATTTCACGTCTTCCCGTGGCACGGCTGCGGGGTAGAAAATGCAGTGATCAGAGCTTCAAACTAGCAACTGGTCTGACGATTACAGGGCTTGAGGCAAAGGAAACATCCAACGTCGCGTTTGCATTTTCTGTGGGTCCTACCCCACTCACCCCGAAGAAACTGGACAAATACACGTATGCATATTTGAGAGAAGTAAAGCTACTTGGCCATTCAAACCGCACGGAAGACATTCTCTAAGAAAGTTTCTTAATCATGGCTCATCCTAGGAATCAACTGGAGTAAGATTATGTACACAGCCCCTTGGGACAGACACGAGACCCACTGAGTTAGGATCTCCAAGGGAGGAGCTGAGAACCTGCACTTTTTGCAGACACTGCCAGGAAGCTTTATGGATTATGGGTGTTTCTCGAAAACACTGTTCTAAGAGATACATCCAAAGAACTGGGGAGAAAAATCTCAGGAAGGAATTATATGAATATTTCTCAGCTCAAATAACAGTTTCTTTCTCTTACTTACCTGTTCCCCTCACTACCAGAGCCCCCTAATTGTTTTTCCTCTCGACTTACCTGCTTCCCAACTCCATCAGTCTCCATACCACTGCCAGAGGGAACGTTCTAGAACGCACTGGCTATCAGGGCCCCAGTCAAAACTCATCACAACCGTGGCTTCCTCCAGGGAAGAGAACTAGATGTGTTCCCAGGGAAGGACTCAGCTGAGTGTTACTGCCAATATTCTATTACTTGGAGGCAGCGGTGGACTCACAGATATATATATATATATGTATATATATATATATATCTTTATTTATTTATTTATTTATTTACAGAAGTAAATTAGCAAAGAGAGCCATAACTGTACTAATTATAGCAATGTCAATACAATTCTGGGCCCTGAGGATAAAACTAAATACATTTTTTTAAAGTAAAGAAATAGAATATGTCAATATCTCCGGGTATTCAGAGTATGCTTTTAAAAATTCTTTTTCGGGATGCCTGGGTGGCTCAGTCAGTTAAGCATCTGCCTTCAGCTCAGGTCATGATCCCAGGGTCCTGGGATCGAATACTGCATTGGGATCCTTGCTCAGCAGAGAGCCTGCTTCTCCCTCTGCCTGCAAGCCCCCCCCCCCCCCGTTTGTGTTCTCTCTCTTTCTAATAAATAAAATCTTTAAAAATTCTTTTTCTCTGCATTTTATAATTACTCCTTTGTGAATCACATAATTTAATAAATTTTTTAAAATTAAAAAAAAAAAGTCCATCACCAGTCCTCGCCATGGCCTACAGGATGAAGGCAAAGTGTCGCTATGACATACAGATCTCCACATAATCCAATCCCCACCTCTCCTCCTTAGCCTTCTTCCCCACCATTAGCCTACTTGAAACTCACACTTGAAACATTCTGCATCTCTTGCATTTCCTTGAATACTTGATACTCTTTTGCCTCTGTTCTCTCTGCTCACAGCTGCTTTTCCTTCCCCATTCACCCAGTGCATCAGCCAGGTTAATGCCACATCAGGCCGAGGTAACAAAATCCCAGTAGATGAACACAACACAGATTTCTTTTGCACTCACTCTGTGTTAAGAGGCTACAAGCCGTTTTGGTTTTTTTTTATTCTCCAAAGACCCAGGTAGTAAATATTTTAGGCCTTGTGAGCAACATATGGTTTCTGCTACATATTTTTCTTCTTTGTTTTGTTCATTTGTTGTTTTTTGGGTGGGGTGTGTGTGTGTGTGTGCGCGCGCGCGCGCGTGCAATCTTTTAAAAAACATAAAAACCATTCTTATATTCACAGGTCATCCAAAAACAGGCCACTGGCCATTGGCTGACCTCTACTCTATATGACCATTGCCAGATACATGTAGACAGCAGAGAATTACTCATGTAGTCATTCACACTGGGTTCATGAAGCAATCAGATCTTGCACATTTCTTGTCATTAGACAGCAGACAAAAAGCGAGGCTCTTATTCAAGTAATTAGATGCTCCAGTCTGCAAATGGCACCCTGCGACTTCTCACAAATAACTGCCCCAAATTCGTCCTTCAGTCCCACCCAACCATAAAGGGGCCAGAAAGTGCAACCCTACCATGTGCCCAGCAGTAATAAGAACTGACATTACTTGGTCAAAATGATGACTCTACTCAGTTCAGAGTCAACTGTCCTGGAAAGCGTTTTCTGATGCCATAATTCCCCAGCCAGATTAACTACCCTTCCCCTATAATCTTATAGCACCTTGAACATCCCTTGGGCTGTGCTGTTTCTCTGCCTCCCCCCCCACCCCGTTCCTGAGCTTCCTCTGGTTGGCATCTCCCTATGCCCACTGCATAGCACAGTGCCGACCTCCCAGGGATGCTCAAAGCATGTTGCCTCAACAAAGAAATAAAAGTGGTGGACTGTGGGAGTGAATGGTTGCCTCTGCATCTACCTGAAGGCTTCTAAATCTAGCATTGTCAACCTTTCTGAAACCAGTTGGTTCAACCACACCTGTCTCCACTCATGATAAATTTCTCATTTTGGTTATTTGGTTATTTTCTGTATTCATTAGGTCCATTTCTTCTTATAACTGTTTTCTTCTATCAATGCTTGGCAGAGAGCTGGTCCCTGAGGCCACAGAGCACTCGGACTCTATGTGGCTTAGTTTTGTTTTTAGTTTACAGGTCAGAGGGCAGGCACAGAGAGGCACAGTGATTTTCCTAAGTTACACAGCCAATCAGAGGTCCAGCTAAAAGTTATGCTTCGATTAAACAATAAAGCTACCAGATTGAACACAGAGCCTCAGCTAAGTTCACCAACAATTTATTTATATCCCTAGGAGAGGCAGAAAGCATAGTACATGTTCATCAACTGTAAATCTATTATACCATACCAGGGTTTAGCTTGTAGTACCCAGGCATTTATCTCTGAGAAAAATATTAAACACAAGCCACATGGACTGTTTATCAACACTGTGCTTTTTCATATTGATTCCACTCATCCCTCTACCACCTTTCCTCGTCTGTAAAGTGACACAGCTCATTCTCAGATGGTCTTTCAGAATCCTGAGAATATTGAAGATGATGTGCCCTGGAGGTTTTACCATCGCACCTTAAAGCCTGTTAGGTGAACAACACCTGCATGCATTTTCACTACTAAACGGCGTAAGACAAATCTGAATTCAATTTCACATGCAACATGTGCATGGCTGCTGCAGTTGGTATCAAATGTACAATCACAGAGCGGGCAAGACGGTGTTCGAAATGAGCTCTAGTCTAACACTCCACCCACATACACAGCGTGAAGCCCCTTAATGCTTATCAGTCACAATCCTGATATCCTCTGGCCCCACCAAAGTGTATCCTGATCTGCAATTTTCCTTTTCTTGCCATCTCCTGGATACAGTAAGTTCCTAATAAATATCCCCTCTGATGGCTAGCCTTGACAAATGCCTAGAAGAACCAGGGCAAAGAGAATACAGCTAAGCAGTGCCCACCACGTCTCAGATCACCAGGAGAACACCGCTAGGATGTGGTCCTACTGAAACCTGCAAAGTTTGGGTCATTCGATATGAAAATTTAAAAAAAAGAGAAAAAGGAAAAGAGTAACTTTTTAAAAAATATGTAAACCGTTTATTGAAGAAGGAGAAACAGCTCAGTGCGCCCTTCAACTCTTGTTAAGTGCTAAATAGACCACAGGAGACAATGCACCTCAACGAAGGAAAAGCGTGCAAGAAAACTGAAGTAAACACACACACACACACAAAACAAATTATAGGCTCAGGTCCTGCCAGGCACAAAACAAGAATCAATCCTTAATAGGAATCTTGCCTCTCCTTCCTTTTTTCCTTAAGCCTTATAATTAACTGTTAACAAAGTGTATCAAGAAGAACAAACCTAGGTTCCCCTCCCCCCAAACAAGAAAAGGTTAAGCTTTTAATTACAGGCCCTCAAACTATCATTTTGTGCAATTAGCAATTTACTATAATGGTCGATGAGAGAATGCAGGGCTGCACTAGCAATTTCCCTCCTCCCAGGCTGGGTTATTTTAGTCCCGTTCTATGACAGAGAACCAAGCACAAACGCCCGCACCCTCACCAACACGCTCTCCTTTAAAAGCACGTGTAGTTTTTAGCGAAGACGGCACCTCGGCGTGCGATTGAGACAGGCCCCCGAACCCCTCCTCAGAGCAGCCCGAACGTTTCGAGCCTGTCCACTCCATCACTTGCAGGTGGAGGGAGGAGGCCCGAGGAAGACGCTACCTACCAGCCTGACAGCACCAGCCTCTCTGGGGCGCAGGAGAGGGTGGCTGAGAGAGACAGACAGAGATGCTTGTGGCCTTTGGCAGCCGCAGGTCCCCCCGGGCCGCCGGCCCCGCTAGCGGGCGGGCGGTGGCGACGGCGGCTGTCGTTTGCATCAGCGCTCGCTGCCGCCGCTCCTTGCGGCCGCGGCGTTTGCAGTCGGCGGCCGCCGGGACCGTGCGGTACGGACTGTAGGGAGCGCGCCGCTGCGGCGGCGGCGGCGGCGGCGGCAGGTTCCCTAGATCAGGAAATTAGGGCAGGCCCCGGGGATTGGAGGCGAGGGCGGCGCGCGAGCCAACCAGCGGCCGCCCCGGGCCCCCGTGAGCCCCGGGCGGACGCGCGGAGCAGCCGGGCCCCAGGAGCAGTCCGGCTGGCAGCGGCGGCCACGGCCACGGCCACTCACGCCCGCGCACACACTCGCACACCCCCTGCGCAGGCACCTGGCTGCCCAGAGCTCGTGAGAGCAGCGCGTCGAGGGGAAAGGAGGGCTGAAGCCGCCGCTCCCCCCACCCCCACGCCCGCACACACACCCCTCGCTGACCACTCCCCCTCCTGCCCCCTCCTCGCTGCTCACCCCGCGCTCCTGCAGCCGCCAGTGTGGGTGCTCGGCGGCCGGCTCCGCTCTCTTCTGCCTTCTCCTCTGCTCTCGGCTCCCCACCCCCTCCGCTCCCGAGCCCTCCCCTCCTCTTCCCTCCCCTCCTCTGCAGCGCCTGCATTATTTTCTGCCCGCAGGCTCGGCTTGCACTGCTGCTGCAGCCCGGGGAGGTGGGTGGGTTGGCTGGTGGGGAGGAGATTGTGCAAGTTGTAGGGGAGGGGGTGCCCTCTTCTTCCCCGCTCCCTTTCCCCCTTTCTAACTCCTTTCCCTCTGCGCCCCCCTCCCCCCTCCCCGCCCCCACCTCCTACCTCCTTCGCGAAGGGCTGGTAACTTGTTGTGCGGAGCGAGCGGCGGCGGCGGCGGCGGCGGCGGCACCATCCAGGCGGGCACCATGGGCACGTCCGCGCGCTGGGCGCTCTGGCTGCTGCTCGCGCTGTGCTGGGCGCCCCGGGAAAGCCGCGCCACCGGAGCGGGTGAGTGAGGACGCGCCCCTCCGCCGGCTGCCCGGACCCAGCCGGGGCGCCAGGGGGCCCCGAGGCGCGGGTCTCCTTTTGCCCACCCCCCTCCTAGGAGGCGCCTCTCCGCTCTGCTCGCCTCTTTCCCTCCCAACCCTGGTGGCGCCTCTGAGCTGACTGTCAGCGCCGCGGCTACGGGGAGCCGGGCTTGGGGGACAGTGGGATTTGGGGTGTCCTAAAGCCTTGCCTGAACTAGTCTTCATTCCCTTACACTCTGCCCCCCAAAGTCACTGTTTTGCCTCGGTTTTCACCCCGCTTGGCCGGGGCTGGGGAGTGTGGGCTTCTGAGCCACTGAACAATGGTTCTGTCTGCTCTGCCAGGCGGAGTGTTAGGAAGGAGGCAGAGGGCCGGGTCGGGCCGAGCGGTGCGCGGGAGCCCGGGGCACGCTCCCGGGACTTGAGGGAGGGTGGGAGTGCTCGGTGGACGAGGGTGGGCGCCTCCGGGGACGCGTGGCGCCGGGTGCGGGTCCCGGCAGCGAGTCCCTGGTGGCGGTGAGCGGGCGCACGTTCGATGGGCGGCAGCCGGAGGCTCCGGGGAGCCACTACCAGTGCGCAGCCTGCGCACCCGGACTGCGACTGCCCGGGCGCCCGGTGGTCTCTCTGGAGCGCGGGTTAGAGGACGAGTGCGGTTTCCCATAGTACTCCCCACTGGGTGTTTCGCCCCTTCTCCCTCCCCACCCCGCCCCCCGCCCCCACGCGCCGTGTTTGTAAACCTCCCGGGTCTCCAGTGTGGCTGAGCGGGGGAGGGGAGCGCAACGAAGACTTAATCAGGTTAGTTTGCTGATCTTCGTTCCCGGTGAGATTTCCTCGAGAGGAATCGAGTCCTAATCTAGTGACTGTGTAATTAGCCTTCATTCCAAACAATAGATCAAAGGCAGTAGCGCGAGAGCTGCTGTGTGACGCTGGGGACTACCGTCGAGGGCCCAGGGTCTGCCGCACTGGGCCCGGGAGCCCCGTCCTCAGTCACTCTCCCAGTTAGAGCCGCACGACTTTCCTGGGCAGAGGACAGGAAGCCCTTCTAAGGATTCGGTCAGAGTCCCGGCGCGTCCCCGAAGGGATCTTGGACGTTACTCAGAGGGGCTTGATGGCCAGCTCCAGGGCAGTGGGACGGAAAGCTGCCCGCGGCCTGAGTCCCCAGCTCCTGCCGCCGGGTGGCTTAGGAGGCCCGCCTGTCTGCAGTCACGTGTCTCCCGAAGTGAGCCGACTTTCAAGTGTGGGGTCGAGCGGCCTCTCGGGCCATCCTTGGGGGGTTGAAGGCTCCCAGCGCCCCCTGCCCTTTGGCTCCGACTGTCCCGAGCAAGCGAGCGTGTGAAGCTGGCACGGGCTTTTCTGCCCTCTGCGATTGGCTGGCCGCCCGATCACGTTTGGGCTGGTCACATGTCTCCGCGAACTCAGAATATAGCAGCCTGAGAAGTATTATCTGTAAGGAAACGTGTAACACCCGACAGGCTCCTGCGCGCTGTTCTCTCAAAAGCTTGCCCCCGACCTGGACCCCTTGAAAAAGGCGAGTCGTGGAGACAACCTCTGATGTGTAACAAACCTCAGAGCCTGGAAAAGGCCTGCCTACAGGAATTTTCAGACTGGAACATTAATCATTAATGGATGAGCAATACTAACTTATTAAATGATTTCTCAGAATAGCACCATGACTTGCATTATACTCTTCCTAACATTTCAAAAGACTAAGGTACACCAGAAACTATTGATAACCTTCCCGGAGGTGAGAGAAAGATTCATTTTGGCTGCATGTTCTCTCCGTATCCTTTTGATTTAACATGTAATGACTTTCCCTTAGAGGTTAACTTTATCGGATAGAATGCTGGGAATGCCCTTGAACTGTTGAAATGAGTTAGTGGAAGCCATCTGTTGGCCTTGTATTAGGTAGGTGAGGGTCCCTTTGGCTCCTCTATGTCACATGTGAAATATATGACATGCCATGAATAGTGAAAAACAGAAACCCATGCAAGACTTAAATTCTTCAAAGGAAAGGCGGCGCATCATTTTTCAGCTGGATAGAATCTGGGGTTGGCTGGCGAGGTATTGATCTTAAGCCAACCCAGACTGACTCCTCTCTGAAGTTCAAAGCCCCAGGGTATGTGGGTTGACTTTCTGGTCCTGGTGTGGTATACATCCCTTCTTCCCAGCCCCTCCCCCCAAAACCCGCTCGTGGCACTGCTCTAAAATACTCGAGGATGGGGCAGGGATGTTCTAAGATCCTGACCGGAAACTTCAACCAGGCTAACAAGATAAGTTGAAATTCAGTAGGAGTATACCTGATTGCAAAGCCCTGGGAATTCTAGTACATTTTCCTCCAGCCTAGGTAGTCAAAATTAGGGTGTGGGATACCACATATTCATTAAAGCCAAAGCCTAGAAAAACCAAGGTTTTAGGAGGGCTATTCAGATACGGCTAGCAGCTAGCAAAAGAGGAGACAGAAGCTTCTCTGACTGTGGGAGTAGACTGATGAAGCTAGCAGTACAAGAGACCCGGAGGGAGAGGAGAAAATAAACTTGACTTCCATCCCATAGCACCAAGGGAAAGTGTGACAGCGAACCCAATCCTCGTTCAGGCCAAAGAATGAGCATGTGAGCCCAGATCCTTTAAAGGAGGATCGCCAGGCAAGTGACAGCTTCCTGAAGTCTGAGCAGCTCCCTTCCATGAATCGGCCTGTTGCTCCCTTGATGTGACATTTAGCTAGAATGTCCGTCCTGTGTTGTTTTGATTCTCTGCTTTTACTGCTTATGTCCCCAGATTCCTCATGCATGTATAAACGCCAGGCTCAGTAGCCACGGCCCAATATTAAGACTTTACCATGATCAACTGCATGTTGAAGCACTAAGCCTTGCTAGTAAGGTTAATTAGAGCAGTCTCCATGCTTCAAAGAAGTGAAGTGCTGATTTAAGTGTTTCTGCCTTTCATAAAATTGAATAACCATAACTTTGATTTCACAGTTTTACTACCATTTTAGAAGCGATGAAAAGTAGCTACAAGCCCCTTTGATTCCAGAAGTATCAAACTGGTAAGACTTCACAAGAACTCCCAGAGTAGAACATGGCCATAATCAAGGGAACAGGTAGCTCCCAGGCACATGGTTTTGGGTTTTGATCCAAAGGCCGAAAGACTCAGAGCACAGCATACACATACAAATAACTCATGTTAAAAATCTAGATCGTTTTCTATTTCTTACAGAATGTGAATGAAGCTGTCCTTGTTGGTAGAAGGAAGAATGATCAAGGATAGGCGGTTACCTCTTTGACTTCAAGTTATAATTAAATTTACTTTGGGTACTGACTGTTCTTTGGAAAGCCACGTTCCTATACTAGCCTATGAGAAATCAAATGCCTCCAAAGGCTATGATAAGGTCTGCAATGATGTTTATGATAAATGTACCTGCCTTAGGAGCGCTGCTCAGGGTAGACTGCTCTCCAGATGGTTAGTCAATAGACTCAAAATTGCTTAGTATGTTCCCTTCTACTGTAAGTTCATCCCAAGAGAGTTCTTAGGGCACAGCATGGAGACTACTTCCAAGATCAAGTGTCCAAAAGTACCTTCTGCAGAGGTGATGGATGAGATGTACCTGTTGAGCAGAAGTGGTCCAGGGACAATTTTTTGTGCCCAGCTAAAGAATTTTTAGCTAGCAAATTTGAGGACTGGTAGCTTTTTAACTTTCAGGCTGAGTGTGACTTAGCTTGAGCAGAATCTTACTTGATGATTTCACTCTGTATTTTTCAACCTGAATCGGTGTCTCTTTGCTAAGCTGTTCTGTTGGCTTAGCAATAAAAACTCTTAGCATGGTTAATGCCACCT